GCCCCATCGATCACCGAGGTACGCGGCCACCGAATCGTTCGTATCAAGACATATTTCAGTCGTTGATCCAAATGTGGCCCGCGCCAAGAACGGAGAAATGGGCACGGAGATGCGCCATGGGCCAGGAGTGCTGTATCGCCGCACAGCTCTCTGATGGAGGAAGCCACCAACCTCCTCAAGGAAATCTGCCTGGAGGGAGGCTAGTGGCACCATCATTAGCTGCTGGGCATGGTCGAGCAGAACATTGTGGCTATCGTGACCCACAGGCAACCCTACGACCTCGACAGCAGGTGATTCAAGCTTCCTCTCCTCCTCCTCCTTCATGGTGTGAAACGTTTGAGCCTTTTGGGGCGAGCCAACACCTGAGGCGAAAAAAGCAGCCCTTCTCCCCATGACTTTCCGGTCTGGAGTCCACCAAATGGCATTCCGATCATTCTTGGCTACATAGGTAGCCTGGTGAAGTGCAAGCAGAGAGTAGAAGCCACTCAGGTGGTGGCAGTGGTCAAGAGGTTCCCTGAGTTGGTGATCAACAACAAGCCAATTGTGGCGCTCTGGGTTGCCGTGGCCGCGGGCCAGAGCGTGCAGTATGTGGGACGAGTCCAGCAGTCTCCGATCATTGCCGGAGCCGTCCAGTTTGAGTGGTCCAGCGTCGAAATACACACCACGTACCCCCCCCCGGCCACCGACTTCGATTTAAAGTTTGTGTCTTCAGGTTCAAGGGGAGGGCCATCGACGCTTTGCTCGACCGTGAGGGGAATGTGTTCGAGGTGTTTGTAGACGGCTTCTCGGTGGGCCTCATCAACACCCAGCGGCGTCCGCCAGTACACCGCCGCCAGCGGTCTCAGCTCCGGTGCGTCACATCTTTCGCTTTCGCTTTCCTTCATTCTTGTTATAATCAATATCCTTTTATCTTTATTAGTATTTAAATTTATTTTACACTAAGCAGGGGTTGTGCTGCGCAAGCGCACGGAGGCGCGGTTCGGCGTGGTCACCTTCCGCGGGCTCGTCGTGGCTGGTGGCTGTGCCGCCGGACGGCGAACGCTCCTTCATCCCTGCAGTCGCGGAGACACCCGAGAAGGCCCAGTTCGAGAGCCGACGCATCGAGTGAAGTTTGTTGAGTACATTCACTTCTTCCTGGCCTGCGGACCCATGATCTCGCAGCCCTGCTGCTCCTAGGTCAAGAACGTGGTCGACAAGGAGAAGGCTAAGGGAGTGAACATCACGTTCATCGACAGCGCTGAACCCGTCATCAAGGCCGCCATGGGCTGGTAACGCCACATTATTACTTCAATATATTTATTTATTTTTCTTCTCGAGTAGGGTCAGCCACCAAGTGAGCGTGCCGTTGGCCCACGGCTCGGCGCGCTTGCTTTCGTCCGGCTTCTCCCGGATATGCAAGACGTGGGCCTCCGCCTGCGCCCACATGTGGGTCGGGTAGACGTCGGTGAAGTTCATCGGGTAGCCCATGCTGTAGTGCAGGTAGGGCTGCACAGCGCCGTTGACGTTGAACAGGCTCTTGCCCTGCTCCTCGGTCCCGCCGCCGCCGGCCGTGGCCATGGTCTGCATCTGGGCGCCGTCGCGGCCCAACACGCCACGCAGGAACGCGGGCAGCCCGGGCTCGACCAAGCGGTTAGGCTGGGTGCGTGCGACCCGCAGCCGGTGGAGGTAGGCGTGCCCCCCGGCCAGCACCCGCTCGCGGTTGCGCGCGATAAAGGTCTTGACGTCGACCCGCTCGTAGGGCGGCTCGGTGCTGAACAGCTGCACGAACTCGTCGGTGTCGACCAGGAACACAAAGTCGAAGTCGGCCTGAAACCGCACGAAGCCGTCCCACACGAGCAGCTCCTGCAGGTGGCAGTAGGTGACGTTGTAGTCTCGGCCCGGCGCGTCGACGGCGACGATGGTGACCCGCTCCAGCACCCCCGGGTGCCGCGCCAGGCGCCGCTCGACGTCCTTGATGTCCAGATCGACCGAGGCCAGCTCGAGCACCACGTGGTCTACGCCCACGACGTCGAGTGTCCACAGCAACCAGAGGTCGACGTCAGCCGTCCAAGTGAACTGTCTCGTGATCCACACGCCAACTCGCACCCGGGCGTCGTCGCCCGTGGCCCGCACGATCGCGCCCAGTTCGCTGATGCCGGCCCACGGCGCCGACGGCAGCGGTTCCCGCGGCGTGGCGAGGGCAGCAGTGGGCAGCAACGGGGCCGGCTTGGGGAAGTGGAGCACTGGTCGAGCGGGAAGAAGACCACCTCCTCGGCGGCGAACACGGCAAAGCGCATGTCTGGCCGCATACTCCTCTCGCCCTCCGGGATGAAGAACGCGCATCGTACAACCAGCTCCATGAACCCCGGCTTGAACTGGTACCGCCACCCGGCGCCCGCAGGCTGGTCGAGTATGAAGCTGTGGGCCGGCAGCTTGACCACCTTCTCAGCGTCGACGATTGCGGCTGCCGATGGTGGTTCGCTCCACCACAGCTCAACCCCCTGGAAGGTGCGGCCGGTGGGCACCTCGACTTGATATAAGGTGTAGTTGAAGACTTCGGTCGAGACTGCAAGGTGAAGCTGGAAGACACGCATGCTGGGGTTGTGTTGGGTCAGGTTGTGGAAGGTGCGGGGCCGCAGGGCCGTGGGCAGGGCCGAGGCGTTGGGGAACCAGGCGCGGTGGTCCTGGCTCGCGGAGATGACCTGCACGCGGCCCGAGGGGGACGAGACGAATGCACCCCACGGCACGCGGAAAGGGTCTGCAGCAGAATAAGATGAAGATGAAGTTGCCGTAGAGGAAGAAGACGAAGAAGAAGAAGAGATAGAGGAGAAAATGAGAGATGGACTCCAGCAGAGGTGGCCGCTGTAGGTGGAGAGCACTAAGACGACGACAACATGCAGCAACACAGAGAACAATAAAACCCGCAACAGGCGCACCATGATGTGTGTGAGCAATAGGCAAAACAGTTTACCTTTTTTAAGTGACGTCACTTTTGCTTGTTTTATGTTTTTTCTTTTGTTTCTTTTTAAGTGACCCATCTCACAACTCCGCGATCTCGGGGTAGTTGTTCAGGTACCACTTGGTGGGCTGGATGTTGGGGCTCTGCTCCCGGAGAATCGTGTCGGCGCCCTGGTGTTCCATGACGAACTCGACTGCTCGCGATATGCCGGCCTCCACGCTCGCCAGGGTCGGTTCGTCCACCGCGAATGCGTGCTTCACCTGCGCCAGGCGCTCGGTGAGCGCGCCGCGGGCCAGGTAGACCACCGGGATGCCGGCGCGCAGGATCCTGGTCGTGACGTAGGAGTAGGTCTCAGGGAAGATAGACAGGAAGGTGACGATGTGGATATTCTGCTGCTGCAGGATGAGCTCAATCTCATTGTCGTCGTACAGGTCGTAGAACTCGACAGTGGTGCAGCCCTCCCGCAGCCTCGGTTCCAACTCGCCAAACTGGTGGAAGCGGAACTGTAGGTTGTGCTTGGCCGGCAGCACGTCGCTCTTGGAAAGCGCCAGAAAGAGCTCGGCGCCCTTGAACTCGACGAAGCGGCCGACGTAGGCGACGTTGATCGTGTTGTCGGCCACTGGGGCCACGTAGAACCGGTCGTCGTGGATGATGAGGTCGTTGTGCGGCACCATCACCACCTTCTCCTCGTCCCAGTGCTTGGAGCCTATCTGGGTCCGGTAGTACTCGTAGATCGAGCGCTCGGGGAAGATGACCCGGTTGGCCATCTGAAACAGCTTCGATGCATTGCGCATGTTCCCGATGCCGGGCTCGGTCGTCTGCAGCACCTCGAGCGATGGATTGGGTTGCGTGGGGAAGAGCCACTGGTAGTCGTGTACCGTCACGTAGACTGGAACCTTGCGCGCGCGATAGGCGCGCGCGATGTCGATCACGCGCCATCCGGGTCCCTCCAGCACCATGGCGCTGTGGATGTGGAGCAGCGCGCAGTCCCTCGACGGCGACGGCGGGTTGCCGTCCTGGATCCAGGTGTGGTTGTAGTCGGCGAAGAGGCCCATGAGGTGCTTCATGTAGGCCTCGGTGCCGCCGCCGGGGTGGGACAGGTGCACGACGGTCTTGCCCGTGTGGGGCTTGAACGCGCGCTTGACGGTCGTGATCATGTCGTAGCCGGTTACGTCGTTGGGCTCCAGAATCGACTGCTCGTTCCACTCGTTCCACGCCGCGAAGAACACGTAGTTCTCCGGGCCGGCAATGATGCTGGTGTCCTGGACCGCCAGGTCGTACACGCGTTGCACATGACGCCCGAATCCGTCCGCTGTCGCATTGCGATAGATCCGCGGGTAGCCCTCATAATTCCCATTGGTCCAGCCGCGCCGCGGTGCGTTGTTCCAGCCCAATACGGTGCCGCGGTAGAACTCCTTCGCCTGGCCCTGGCGGCGGTGCTCCGACGTGGCCCAGATCTCGGGCGCGTTGAATAGCCAGAAGCCGGCCCACTGGCCCGCGTCGGCCGGTTGGCGCCCGACTTTCCACCACGGGCTCGAATACCCGGGCTCGAACTGAACGTAGCCTTGAAGGCCCTGGTCGTCGGTCGGCGCCCAGTCGTTGGTGGGCGGTTGGCCGAAGCGCATGAAGTGGATGCCCGGCAGGCCCTCCTTCCGGGCCAGCTCCTGCCACAGGGTCATGATGCCCGCGACGATCTCCGCATGCTCCTTGTCGATGCGGTACCAGATGAACACGGGCCGCTTGTTGATGCGGATGTTGCGCTTGTTGCGGAAGAAGGGCAGCAGGAAGTAGAAGTGCTTGACGTTGCCCTCGTGGTCGGAGTAGTCCTGCGCGAGGATGACGTCGTTGGGCAAGCCGTCCCACGCACGGGTCCAGTTCTCGTTGGCCCAGCACAGCACGAACGGCTTCTTCGGCTCCCCATCCTTGAGCATCAGCTCGAGCGGGCGATGCATCACTGCGTGGGCGAATGTTATTACCATCCAAGACAAAGAACATGTGATTTTCAAACTAAAATAAATAAAATAACATAAAATAAAATCAAGCTACCACGTACCTGGGTGGTCCTTGAACCAGAAGTGGTAGAAACAGAACCCGTGGATGCCGAAGCGGTCGGCCAGCACGCGCATGAACCGGCGGTGCCCATAATCGAGAATGTTGTAGTAGCCCAGGTCGGGGTGGGGCTTGTAGATGACCTCGTCGATGACGTGGCGCGGCATGGGCTTGAGGAAGGTCCACTCGGTGAAGTTGACGCCCCAGAGCTCATCGTTCTCGGGGATGGCGTGGAACTGGGGGAAGACGATGGCGAGGGCCAGCGGGGTCAACTCGGCCCCGGCGGTCCTCAGCGGGGTGGGGCTGGCTGGTGGTGGTTGGCGGGAGAGTGTGACTGATGCGGGGGGCTGGGGAGAAGTGGAAGGAGAGGGTGGTGGAGAGCGAGTGGGAGATGAAGATGAAGACGGAGATTGAGATGGAGAAGAGGAGGGCAAAAAGATGGTCCGTGGAGCAGATCGTGGGAAGGCTGGGGAGAATCCCTCTTCCGCAGACAGCTGGTGATAAGAGACGAAGGCGGCCAAGGCGGAGATGACCACTACCAGGGCAACGACGTGCCGCATCTTCCTGTCCTCCGCCTCGCCGGTAACTCAGACAGAACAGGCCAGTCTTTCCCCTTTTTGGTTTGGTGTGGACATTTCTCAAATTCCACGTATTGCCTGCGGTAGATGTAGGCAAAAGTTGAAATATTTGAGCCATGAGGAATCACCGCTTGCCGATGGCCGCAACCAAGGCGGGCGGCACTCGCTTGGCGTGAGCGGGCGAGAGTGACCGGATCCAACTCCGCACGCCGGTTGCGGGACCGGAGGTCGACGACGACGGAGGGAGCGAGCCCGCAGCTGCGGACGTGGTCATCTCGAGGATCGTCTGCGCTGCGGCGAGCTTCACCGAGAAGGTGCCCATCGGGCTGTCCGCCGGGTCCATCTGCAGCACATCCGCCATCGTGTCTTTTGTCCGCACACCGCACACCGCACACGTGCAATGGCTTAGTTATGTGATTGGAGGGGGAGAATAGGTGGACACCGTACTCGCTAGAAAGTCGCTTCCCTGGAGGGGAAGCGGTTCGGCCAGGAACTGGATCGCCGCTCGTGCCAGCTGTCCCACAGCCCTTACAGTTGTCACCAGCGCCGAGTTGGTCGAATCCGCGCCTGTGTGCGTGTGCGGCGTGTGCGGTGCGTGTTCGTTAAAAAATCAGCATATGCAGGTAGATGAAGTGGACAAGACAAAGAATAGAATACCCAACAGAGGCCAGAGCCGTTCCACGATGAGGTCGTTGAATGTCCAGACCCAACCCTTCCACAGGGCCACCAGCTCGAGACACTTGAGGCCCACGAAGGTGCGCGGCGTCAGCTTGTACGATTCTGCGTGTATCACGATCGTGAGTTTTCAATATTGCGTTGCGGACGTGGCATGCAACCCCTTAAGAGGGTGGAGAGGAGATGGTACCATCGCCGTTGTGCTGCGCGAGCGAACCGATACCGCTGACGATGTCGGCTAGCAGGCGGTCCAGACTCGGTGCATTCTCTTCATTCCAGTCGTTCTCTGTGGCAATGTCGGCCAGGCAGTCGTCCACCATCTTGGTCCGCTCGCGCTTGGCCCCGCTGCCTGTGCTCTTGGCCGCGGGACCCAGGTGCCCCGTCATCAGCAGTCGCAGCGTTAGGCCCAGTACGCGCAGGCCGTCGTCCGCTTCTTCGAGGTCCATCGCCGCGCCACTGCCGTCGTCGCCCTCGACGCTGGCCAAGGCGCCCGGGTAGGCGCGCGACACGATGCGCAGGTACTGGAGCACCTGGCCCGCCCTCGGGGGGACGGCGACCGGCCTCGGTCTTAGAGAGAGCCGCGAGTACGAGATCCAGGCAGAACACGCCCACGATCGACCGGCCGCGCCTTCGCTCCAGCTTGCACAGGCCGGCAAAAGCCTTGCACAGCGACTCGAGCTCCGTTGTCGCAACTACATACGCAAGAATAAAGTACAAGAACAGTGGTCAGTAAAACGGACGCGCAAACGAAAGACACACGACACGAAAGCTGAAGCGGTTACCTTTGGGTTCGTGCTTGTTGGCCAACCGGTTGGCCCAGCTCCACAGGACCGAGTCGAGGAGCCGGTCACCGTGTTCGTGTTTGTCTTGCGGCTGCCGCGCGGCGGCGGCGGCGGCGGCTCTGGCCTTGGCCACCCGCCACAGGAGTCGGAGGACGAGCTTCTCCTGGTTGGCGAATCGCTTCATCCAGGCCTCCTCGCCCCGCTGGTTGTGCTCCCGCTTCTTGGTGCGTTCGGTCTCGAACGTCTGCAGCAGCCGTCGCTCGAGCAGCGACATCACCGTCTGCTCGTCGAGATTCCGCTCCTGGGCGAAATCGTCCGCGATCTCGCGCAGCGTGACGCCGCTCAGCAGCGCGACTCGCCGATTGAAATCTTGTTATGAAATAGACGTCAGCGCCTGTGTCGGCAGCAGCAAAGTGTTCCAGCGGGCGGGCGGGGGAGAAGGTGGTGTGCGTACAGTCGGCAGGCGCTTCGTCTGATCGACGATCGCGCGTCGGACCCATCGGCGAAGTGGTAGTACTGCTCGAGGTTGCGGCGGAGGGAGCTGCTGGCGCGGGACTGATCGGAGCTGCAGCCTGCGGCGCGGCGGTGCCCGGAGGCGGAGGCGGCCACACAAGTGCTGGGCGCACGGCCGCCACTAGAGAGCCGACTGTGGCCGGTAGGGCGGCGCTGCCCGGGGGCGGAGGCGGCCACGCCACAGCTGGACGCGGGGTAGTACCCGGCGGGGGAGGAGGCCAGACCCGAGCCGCCGAAGGGGTCGGGGTCGTCATGACCGGTTCGCTGGTGGGTCCTGGTGGCACCAGCGGGGCGACGCTGGGCAGAGTGGCTGGGGCAGTGACGGGTGCGCGCGTCAGCTGCTGCGATCGCATGGCCTGCTCCGCCTTGGCCTTGGTCTTCACCATCTTCATCAACTTACTCTGCACAAACACACACACACACACACACACAGAGAGAGAGAGGTGAACGATGTGTGGCGGCATGATAGTTTGAAGCGTAAGAGTTGGTGATGGTACCTCTTTCGCACCAGCCGCCTTGGCCGGCGATTTGAGTTTGCTGGCTGCGGCCTCGTCGGTTGGGCTGCTCTCCTTGTCTTGCTCCGCGGAGGCTTTCTTGGCCTTCTTCTTCGCCGTCGCTTCCTCGGCGCCCTTGGCCCGCGTCTCCATCTTTCGCTTCTTGCCGCCGGTGGTGGTTCCCCCACCGGCGGCCTCGGCGCTGGCTTCGGCCTTCTCTCGTTCGGCCCTCCGTCGCTCTCTTCGCTGCTGCATGACGGCCTTAGCGTCCGTCGGCTCCTCAACGATCTTTTCCCGCGTCTCCTCAACCTCCACGACGGTTGGCTCGCCGTACGTGTCCACCATCGGTTCATTGTCAACATCTTCTTCTTCCTCCTCCTCCTCTTCCCCTTCGTCGATCTCCAGATCTTCCGTCTCTTCGGCTTCGCTCTCTACGTCCTCGTCCTTCTGCTTCTTCTTCGTCTCTTCGTCTTGTTCGTCCTCGACCAACTTTCGAGGTCTTCCTCGCTTGGCCGGCGATTCGGCCTTTGCTGGCGGTGGTGGAGTTGGTTTGGTCGGTGCGCTGACAGCGGTCGCGGCCTCGCGCGATCTCCGCTTCGCTATCCTCTTCGGCGACGCCTTGGCCTGCTCGACCTTCGGTGCTTCCTTGGCCTGCAAGCGAGCACTCCGCCGAATCACGCTGGGCGAGTCCTTCTCATCGTCATGAGCTTCTTCCTCATCCTTTGCTTCTTCTTCTTCTACTTCTTCGTATCCCTCCATCTCTTCCTCTTCCTTCTTTCGCCGTGCGCTTCCTCGTCCCCTTGGCTTCCGCTTCGCAGAATCTGCGACAGGCCAGGGTCAGCATCATGACCCACCACACACGCGCACGGCACACACGACACACGACACGCACGACACACACGACACGCACGGCATCCAAGGGGCACCTTCATCACTGTTAGCTTGCACTCGCGCCAGCTCTTCCATGCGCGTGGCCATCTGACGTAGCACAACCAGCGTGAGTGTCCTGCAGACGTGGTACTGAGCCGGAGAAGCGAGAGGGGAGAGCGTACTCGGTTGAGCTCCTTCTGTTGCACATCGTGGATGGCCTTCCACTCGCGCTTGACGTTCTGTACCTCGTCGCCGATGCCCCTCAGTCGGCGGTTCTCGGACTCGACGAGGGCGAGGCTCAGCTTCAACTCGTTGACGTCCTTGGCCACGTCCTTCTTGATCTGTTTCTTCGTCTGCTTGGCCGCCTTCAGCTGGCCGATGTCGCTACTCAGATCGGCGATGAGCTGCGATTGTTTCTCGAATGCAGCCTCTCTAGCGGCGAGGGCTTCCTGCTTCTGCTGGAGTGCGGCCTCGATGTCAATCACCTGGCGTCTCGTTGCCGCAAGCTCACTTTGCAGGGCGGTGTAGAGCGAGATGAGCGTGCGGGCATCGAATTTGTCGTGATTCGCTACAGCGCCGTCGGGTGCCGGAGAGGCTGCATCCGCAGCACCACCGATCTTGGTGCTTGGCACCTGGGCATCGCCCAAACCTTCATCATCTTCGGTAATCACGAGATTTCCCTCTCCTGAAATTTCAAGATCATCTGCTTCCATGGTCTCCACAAATGGCGGATGTTGTGTTGCCCCCTTCGCAACCGTACGAGATGCCCGAGCGGGATGCAGATCTGATTTGATTATTTCTTTACGCAAAAAGAAAATTCAGAAAATTAGAGAAAGAAATTTTTTTTTTGTTTTACACGCTTGAGACCGCTTCTTGCACCACTGTCGGAAGGGCAAGAAGAACATAGACCATGAGCAGGAGCCAGAAGGCAGCTAAGGATTGCCATGGCATCTGCCTTCAATGTGGAGAGCTGCCTTTTTGCGGAAATTTCTGAGCTAGGGTGGCCGTAGCATTGATTTGCACCAGATTTCCGCTCAATTCGAACCGAAACGGTATGGCACCCTGTGGAGATCCACCGCGTTCAACTGTTGCCGTTAGCACTACCAACTTAGCAGAGCCGTGTGCACTCTGCAAGTAGTTCTGCTGAATTATATCGTTATTGCTTTTGGTCTCATCATCAATCTTTAACGCACGACAACAAACCAACTGAGAATCATTTCCTTATTATAATTTTTGCACACCAATGGATGACCCAGGCCCACAACCACACGCCCAGCAGCAACACCACCGCACACTTTCACATCCATCACACCCGTACGAGCAGCCGTCGCAGCAGGAGCGGCGGATCCAAGCGCTCAAGGCCGAGCAGGAGCGGTTGGAGGAAGAGATCGAAAAGCTCAAGTACGACCTGGAGCACGAGCGCGATGAGGACATCACACACGCGCAGCCTACGGAAAAGCCCGCCGGCCGCCTCGTGCTGGGCCTCGACGTCGGCACCACCGGCGCCAAGGCCTTCATCTACGACGAACGGTGCACTACACACCACACCACGCACACCTGCGCCGCTGTCGACACACATCGAGTAGTACTCACTCGAGTTCATGTTCGTGATCGTGTGGCCGCACAGCGCGAATTGCATTGCAGACTCCTACAAAGAGCTGACGCCCATCCGTGATGAACCGGGCCAGGAAGAGCAGTGCCCACAGGTTCGTTGGATCCAACGGTGTGTGTGTCGTGTGTGTCGTGTGTGTCGTGTGTGTCGCAGAACCGGTTCTCCGCGGAACGACCAACGTTGTGGTGCCGTGGGTAGGAATTGTGGGACACGGTGATCCACCTCATCAAAAAGACGATGGGCAAGGCCGGGGTGCAGGCCAGCGACATTTGCGCCATGGGCGTCACCACCCAGCGCAACACGCTCATTCTCTGGGACAAGTGCGTGCAAACGCTTCATGATCTGCCGCTGCTGCGTTTCGACACAGCAGTCGGACTCGCACTCACCCTACCGCACGCGCGCGCAGAGAGACAGGAGAGCCGCTCTGCAATTTCGTCACCTGGCAGGACACCCGAACGGCCAAGTACTGCCGCCAATTGAACGATGCTCTCGCCTGTCGAGGTAAACACACGACACACACGACACACACGACACATACGACACACACGACACACACGACACACGACACGACCAACGACACGGCACTCTGACTTGCTCTCACCTTTGTTATAAAGGGATACGATCGGCGGCGACTGTGGCGTACCGGATGACGCACAAGGTGAAGTATGCGCTCGCCAAGAACTACCACTTCCAGCCGACACACATCACGCCTCGGCTGGCATGGATGCTGCAGCGCCTGCCCAACGACAAGAAGCAGTACATCAAACAAGGCCGCCTCCTCTTCGGCCTCGTCGACAGCTACCTCATCTGGAAGTTCACCGGTTCGTTTCTTTCCTCGCTACTCAACATTTAGATCATAATATTGTGATCTAAATGTTTCTCATAATACTATATTTATAGTGTCTATATACATGTAGAAATCATATTGTTATATTAACTGAATGGTAAGCGTTAACTGTAGATTTCCCACTTTAACAGGAGGAGCAGTGCATGCGACGGATTACAGCAATATATCGAGCACGGGCTTGTGGGACGTGTTTGTGATGAACTGGAACACGACCATCACCAACATGTGCAGGTGCCTGCTCCTCGCCTCTTCATTCCTTCTTCTTGCGTCTTCTTCTTCTTCTTCTTTTCTTCTTCTTCTTAGAGTCCTCTCACACCCATCACTCTCTCTCTCTCTCGCAGGATTCCGCTGTCGATCATGCCCGAGATTCGACCGTCTTCGGGCGACTTCGGGGAGACGGTGCCGGAGATCTTCGGCGCTTCGATCCCCATCAGGGCCAACTGCGCGGACCAAGGCGCTGCCCTGTTCGGGGATGCTGCTTCTCCGTTGGCGATGCCAAGGTCACCGCCGGCACTGGGTGCTTCCTCGACGTCAACACTGGCACTGGTACGCACCACACACACACACGCCACACACGCCACACACGCCACACACGCCACACACGCCACACACGCCACACACGCCACACACCCACACACCACACACGCCACACACACGCCACACACCACACACACCACACACGACCGCACGCACGCCAAACACACAGGACGTAACTCCTATTAATCAATTCGTTATTTTAGTTCCGATCGGCTCGCCGGACGGGCTGTACCCCTTCGTGGCGTGGACCATCGGCGACAAGACCACCTTCATGATGGAGGGCCTCGCCTCCACGATCGGCACCGTCGTCAACTGGTCGCGCAACCACCTGGGCATATTCGACGAGGAGGAGGAGACGTCGGCCATCGCCTCGTCGGTGCCGAGCACGGAGGGCGTCTACTTTGTGCCGGCCTTCAGCGGACTCGGCGCGCCGCAGAGCGACGGCGGCGCACGCGGGGTCATCGTCGGCCTCTCGGCCACCACCACCAAAAGCCCATATCGTGCGCGCCATGCTCGAGGGCATCGCCTACAGGTTTGTTCCGCCCTTCACGGCACACACGGCACGGCACACACGACACACACGACACGCGGCCTCACTTGTTTGTGGACGGTACAGTATCAGCGACTTGATGGAGCTGGCGGAGGCGGTGGCCATTCTGCCCGAGCAGCCCGTGAGGATCAACGGCGGCCTCGTGCAGAACGACTTCCTCTGCCAGTTCCTGGCCGACATCCTCGACAAGCCGCTCAACCGGCCCCGCAACCCCTCGCGTGCGACGGCGGCGGGCATTGTCTTCCTGGCCGGGCTGGCGGCGGGCGTGTGGAGCGGAACGGACGAGCTGGAGGGGCTGCGCAAGAGCGAGTGCGTCTTCATGCCCTCCATGGATCCCGACACCCGAATGGCCATGATCCGCGGCTGGAAATGCGCCACCATCAGGTATGCCTTCTTCGTTCTTCATTCTTCGCTTCATTCTTCGTTCTTTATTCTGATTTCTTATTTCGATTTTTCTTATTAATGTTGTGTTTTGTTTGTTTTTCATGTTCTTTTCTAACGGGAGCAAGGGTTGAATTGGCCGACAGATCGCTGTCATCGAGCAAGCTCCGCAAGATGAAGGCGGCCCTCCGACGGCAGGAAAAGGCCAGGAAGGAGAAGAAGGCCTTCGAGATGAACGCCGTCATGCACGACATCGTCGAGTACTTACTCCTCCCAGACCTCACACCCGTGTGCATGTGTGCTCACACTCACAACTTTTTCAACTCGGCAGCACGTTCAAGCTGGCGGCGACGCTCGGCGAGGAGGCCTTCACCAAACACGACGCCCAGGGCGGACACACGACAACCAACGGCGGCGCGCACTACGCCCGACACCCGGGGCCGCCCTCAACCGCCGCCGAGCCCAAGCCGTCGGCCGACCACCTACCGACCACCGAGCCGTCCGGGCTGGCGCGCCACCATCGCGCTGACTCAGCTCAGCCCGTGCCGCACGAATGCATGTAAATAACGAAGTGGGAATGATTCTTCTTCTTCTTCTTCACTGGGCTGACAGCATTGTTCACTGCTTGGCGACGCCCCACTTGTCGGGGAGGCTGAGGTGCGGCGGGTAGGCGGTCACGCCGAGGTCGAAGCTGAGCGGCTTCTCCCGCTTGGTCAGCAGAATGGGCGGCGGCTGCGCCGCACGGGGGACCACCTCGGCGGCGAGGAGGTGCATGTCCTCGATGCCCAGCAGGCCACGAGCGCGCATGTTGCCCACGTGTGCCGTGCGCACCTTGAGCGCGTAGTCGATGTCAATCTGCACGTCGAACTTCCACAACTGACGTGTTTGCACATGTCATCGAAATGATGATGTTAATCAACAGTTCAGCTATCATCATCGTCTTCTTCATCGCAGCACGATGGATGATCGGGAGGGCTACCTTGAAGGTGTGGTTCACCGAACCGTCCTTAGCGATGCTGTAGCGCCAGGTGAGGAACGAGTGCTTCGGCTCGACCTTCACCACCCTCTGCAGCAATGAATCGTGACATGAGCGCGCGACACACGCACACGCACACGCACACGCACACGCACACGGGTCCTCTGCGGGGCGGCCAACGTACGAGGTCGGTGCGGGAAAGGGCGTCCCTGTCCTCGCTGGCGGCGAGGAAGTTGCGCTCCTCGAGCAGTCGCCGCTTGGATCGCTTCAGGAGCAGCTGGTACGATTCGTCGTACAGTCTGTCCACCGGCAACACACTCATCAGCGCACAGCAAACGACACAACTGACACGACACACGCCTCCGCACACACCACCGCACACACACACAAACAACACAACACGTACCTGCCGGCCCAGTGTGCTTCGAGTTCGTCTTTATGGAGCGCGTGGTAGAGCCAGGCGGTGAAGTCGGTCGAGTAGAGGAAGGCGAAGGCGGCCACGCTGGTCACAATCATGTAGAACGTCTTCTTCCTGAACACGATCTACCGAGCTTCATGATTAATTGAATCATCATCGTCGAGCTCATGATACGTGCGTAGAAAAAGAAATCGTGAGCGATTAAAGGCATTTGGAATGAAAATGCGAACCTCAACGGTCTCATCAGTTCGCTTGAGCTCGACTCGGGGTCGACGAGGAGGCAGAGGCGGGGGCAGCGTCGATGCCGTAGATGTCGAAGAAGGGCTGGCTTCAGCCGGGGCCGGGTTCGTGCTGTAGGGCCTTCGGCTGCAGTTGTGCGTCCTCCATCCGTTCCGCATCTGAACCAAATCAATGCGATTCCATTGGATTCGAGATCTCACGCGAAGGGCAGATGTCGGGACGCCCGACCGTGCCGATGCCACGATGGCGCGCTTCATCTTCTGTCTTCTTGTTTTGTTTTGTTTTTTTTTGTTTTATCTTTTTTTTTTTTTTTATTATTCCTGGCATTCCACGAATGCACGCCCTGCTCTTCAGCTGAAGATCTGGAGGCCCTCGGCGAAGCGCACGTTGGTGGCGCCGGTGTTGGCCGCCACCCTTTGGCCGAGGCCAGTAAGCATGGTGCTCACGGCAGTGCTGTTGGGGTACTGCGTCTTGTGCTCCAGCCACGACTTGATCTGATTGACCACCATCAGCAGGCAGTCGCGCGCGTGTTGTGTGCGTGTCGTGTGTGTCATGTGTGTCGTTTGTGAGGAGTACCTTGACGTCGAGAACGGAGGAGATATCGATGTAGTGCGAGGGAGTGATGAAGTCCCACATGTAGTACTCCTCGACCTGGGCTGGCGACGGGCCAATCTCAGGCATCAGAAGGCTCAGCCCGGCCTCGAAGTGAGTCTGAGAAAGAGTGAAAGAGAGAGAGAGACAAAGAGAAATGGTTGGAGTCATTGAGTCTACGCCTCTCGTCTTTTGCTGCTATGGTGGCGTTACCTCCAAAGCGAATCGGCCCGCAGCCTGTGCGTTCGTACGAATGGCAGCAGCCATTAGTACGTGCGCTGTGTCGCGTGCGATGCAAATGCGCGGTGTGGTATGTGTGGCATGCGCTGTACCTGGTGGTCGGGGTGGTAGCCCAGATCGGCCCAGCCCTGAGAGGGCTTCATTTCGAAGCGCGGGTACGGCCACCAGCTCATAACGATCTGCGGCTGGAACCGCCTGATGGCCGCAATCATCGATGCCTTGACCTGTACACATCGGCGGCCCAGAATCCCTCTCGTCAGCGAACCGGCGCGGCTGAGCGGCTAAACTGTCGAGTAGGCGACGCACCTGAGCGAAGGGATACGAAGTGAGCTGGCTGTCCTCGTAGTCCAGCAGCAGCACGTTCTTCTCCGGCACGCCCAGGACCTGATGTGCATGCAAGGTGGTGAGAATGGCAAGACGGCGAGCAATGGGAGAGAGCAGAGCGTACGCGAGCGGCATTGAAGGCCTCCTGCCTCCTCGTGGCCGCGATCTGCTCCGATGACCAGCCAGCGCAGAGAGGGTTGGCGCAGCCCTTGTCGCTGCATGCGTTCGAGGTGCGTCACGCAGGAATTAAAGGACCAGAATTTAGCGAAAATGCAAAATAATAACAATGATATTAATTACAATAAAACGAGTGGGAAGAGGAGTACCCGTTGGTGGCGATGGTGTAGAAGACTTCGGTACCCTGGGCGGTGAGGAGAGCGATGGTGCCGCCCACGGCGGCTTCGATGTCATCGGGGTGCGCCGAAATGAGGAGCACCCGCTTGCCCACCCACTTACGCAGGTCGAGGGGCACCGCGGCGCCAGATTTGAGGGACGAAGATGAGGCCGACGGCGGCATACCCGACTCCAGCGACGCCTGCGAAAGCGAAGCCAAAAGAGCGAAGACTGCGAAAAAAGCGACGAAAGTGCGAAGCATCAGGGAATTGGGGGGAGTGTGAGGAAGAGGGAAGAGAATAAGGAAGGCGCAAGCTTGAGGAAAACTGTTTCTTCTGCCCGCCACTGACGAAAAGTACGTCGGAGTTGGGCAGCTGGGCTCATTCCTTGCGCCAAATGTGGCCCGCGCCTCTTCACGCAAGTAGCACGACGTGGAATGGTTTGCATTTGTTCATTTGCAAAGTGGCGCCCACAAGTGCTGCTAACATTGCTACCCCTGGTGCTGAGTCCATCGGACCCAGGTTGGCCTCGCTGGTGTCGTATGTTGGGAGATGCTTGCTAGTGGTGGGTGACGTGGCGCCTTCGGCTGCGGCCGCCGAAGAGGCGCGCGGGAAGGGTGACGACGCGCACAACGGCGTGGGTCACTCCACGGATGACTGGGCTCACGATCGGGATGTGCATGGCTGGATGGAGCGCAAATTGTGAGCTCAGCTGGTTCAGAAGGTAGGGATGGTTCTGTCAAGTCAAGGCGTACCTTGAGTAGGGTTGTGTGAAGGTGAGTCTCTTGTAGTATGTATGTGTGTTTAGTTTGTGTTGATAGTGAAAGCTAGCTGGGACGCCTATTTATCATGAAACTACAAATCTGAGGTTCCATCCAGTCACTGGAATTGCTGGCATTTTTCAGCTAGCAAGTTGCTGGCCTTTCGGATCTCAATCAGAATGGGTCCAGGGGAACTCATTCCCATGCAAGAATCTGACCTCACGAACTCAACTTCTCACCCCTGGCAAGTTCTAAGACCAACGCTGATCGCAACCTCCCGCCAGCTTCCCCGGACTCAGTTAATGACGGTAATGGACAGAATTAACAAACGCACAGAAAAATGGATGCATGAGTCAGAATAGAGGACAGCCTGTTCTTTTCTTTTTGGAGTCCGAT